GGGGGGGGGGGGGGGGGTGGTTGTTCTTGAGGGAAGATGGGAGAGGTTTTAGCACAGTTATGAGACAGATGAAAGGGAAGAGCAAAACCCTTTCTACTTTGTGTTAGTACTCATTTCGGCTTCGGTAATATTGCTTTTTCCTAAAGTTATCTAATTTTTCTGTGCTTAATTTCTTTTACACTTTTAACAAAAGAAACATTGATTTTATTAATTGACTTCTTAAATTAAAAAAATTAAATAAGTAAGAACGTTTTTAGGCTTTTATATTTCTTAGTTCTTTTTCCCCTTGTGAACATCTTTTGTGCAATTACCTTTTTTACTTTTAATCTATATCTATCTATACTATATTAAAAACACGAAATGCCTTAGCAAAATGTTATTCGTCTTTTTTATCCTTTAAAAATAAGTTTCATAATCGTAACTAAATAATTTTCCTAATTTTAAGGACTTTGAAATCAATTAAAATTTTCTTTCCTAATTTGAATTATGTGGGAACTCCTAATATTTAAGGATACAAAATCAAGATTTTTTTTACTTAAAGTCATTTTCTAATTTAAATTGTTAACTATAGTTAACAATTAGGACGTAAAATAAGCATAGTTCAATTATGACATAACAATATTAGTTAATTGTTTTACCTAAGGCACGTAAAAAAAGTGCACGCAATACATTGTTTTGATTAAAAAATATGAAAGTACTATATTGAGGTGATATGAATTTAGACTAAGCAATTAGGACGTTCTTTTTATTTGACCAATAGAAGGGCTTAAAATTTGAAGTATACTTTAATAAAAAATTGTCCACTTTTGTTGTCTAGATTTTAGGAAATAATCAAATGACAATCTTTTCAAAATGTGAAATTATTTTAAACGATAAAAAGATTTATCAATATTTTATATAAAGAAAATAAGAAATATGATTAGGAAACTAACGTATATATGTAATTCGCCGCAAGTAAAATTACTTTAGAAAAACATTATCGGTAAAATAAAATAACGGTTGAGCTAAAAATTTATAAGAACTGATAATAATAATAATAATAATAATCGAGTTCGGATGTGATACTTAGGTATAAATATAATAAGGTTACAGTTTAGAGGTCCCGTTAAAATGAGTAAACTATGAGTAAAAAAAAAAAAAAATCGGTAAACTATCTAACACAAATTGTGTAGTAAATAACATAAAATGTACATGCAATGCACCTATGTAAGTGCTCAAATAAAGTTGAACGATCTTTTTACCTTTCAATCAAACTCCCAAATATGATTAATATTTATCATTTTGGAACTTATTTTTTTTGTTAACGTTTATGTTATAATACAAACATATCTTTTGAATATTATTTTTGTTATTTTTAAAAATCTATTTTTATTAATACGAGTGACACGCGCGCACGCTAAGACTAGTTCTTTGAAAAGTAGCTTGATGTATGCATTTTTGTTGCACGTGCTGCTAACGAAAATTAAATGTTATACAATTTATGAGACAAATATGAGAATGAAGGGATATTCTGTCATACTTAATAATCTAGTTTTTCAAGTTGATTGTTATTGAACTTATTCGTTCTTTAGTTTTCTTCTATATTTTAATTAGGAGATCTTAAAAGTTTTCATTAAAGAAATGATATTCTCATTGAAGGGCTGCAAATAAAAGACTGAAAAGCAATGGATTTTCTGTTTTTGTTAAAAGAAGAAGAAGAAGAGTATTGCAAACAAAAGTAGGTTGAGAGAATTCTTAGTGATTTGGGATGAATTATAATGGAATAGAACTCATATATTTATAGGGGAAAATGACTTAGCCGTAAAGTAACAAACCCTAAAATCTCTCTAAAATATAGACATTCACCTTAAATATAATTTTATTTATAACACTCTCCCTTGAATGCCTATTCAACAGATAATGTGCCTCGTTAAAACCTTAATTAAAATAAAATCCAGCAGGAAAAAATCCTAGAGAAGGAAAAAGAGTACGCATATTTAGAAATACGCCTTTTCGTTGACTCGTTAAAAACCTTGCAAGGAAAACACAATGGGACAAAACCTTCTAAGGAAAAAAGAGTACAACGCATATTAGCTCCCCCTTATGAGAGCATCAATTCACATCCTTGAGCCTTCACATCCAAATCTTGTATACTAACTTCTTGAAGATTGACGTCGGTAGAGATTTGGTGAATAAATCAGTCATATTAACTCCAATGAATATGTTGCACCTTGAAATAATCTTTCTTGATAGATATATGATGTCTTCATATAATGTCGTGGAATGGCCTTTTAAATATCTTCACAGAGGTAAAAATTCTCGCTATCACATTATCATACTTAGAGTTATAGCAAGATACAAATGTGCACAAATTGCACTTAGGATGTACTACTTCATGAACAAGAATTCTAAATGCTTTAAGCAATTTAAATCCTTCAGGGATTGTTCGAACTACATGTCCCAAACTACATGTCTTTCATATGAAACCAATTATATTCGAATTTTGTCTCTTCCGTTTGGCCAATATTTTTGTGTTTGTATTCGACATACTTAACATCCTCATCTATACTTAGCGTTATCATAGATGTTGTCGATGAACGTTTTATATCGGTTCCAATATTTTTTCATAAATACATAACATAGAGATCTCTTCATTCATATTTTTAGGTACCTGAACCTCTCCTGATGTTTTATGAAGTGTTATGTCATGTGATTTTCTAGATAACTTGCCTCTTTGTTATGATCATTTTGATCATTTGTCAATCTTCTTTATCAATAATTTTATTTGAAACCGATTTGTCTATACACTTTAAGCATACCATAGACTTTGTCCTTCTAGGACTTATTCTAATAGAAGCATTTACAGTGAGAATATAGTTATTTTTTTTGGGTCAGCAAATGCGTATGGCATACTTCAAGTTCATATTATCTTATTAGAGGATCTAGATGTAGATAATTTATTCCACGTAACATTTTCTCAACTGTTTATCATGTCTCTCCCTCATGTTAGGAAAACTAACTTGCTTCCTCGACTTTGGAAATTCACATTTGTGCGTTATGGTGTTAATCAAAATATACACCGTACATCAATAATAATAATAAGATGAAATTATTTGGTTCCTGACCCTGAATCACTTGTGAGGGAAAAATGTAATATACTTTTGTATGTAACATATATCAAACTGGTATAGATAACTTTGTTCTCATAAGCAATAGCTTAGCTATTAAGTGGAGACACTCAATAAATCATTTTGCTAAACCAGCTATGATGTAAATCAACTTATCAAGATGAACTGTCTTGAATAGAAAATATAGAAATTATGCTCGAAATTGAATTATTGAGCAAGTTACCTCACAAATATAACCATTTCATAAATACATCTTATGTAGTATATATAGCAGGTGGATGGACCCATATTCACATTTGGTATTTCCAGTATTCATGGGATTCAACCCCAATTTTAGTTGATCTATTAATCAGTGAGAACAAACAACATAAGGGAATCCGTAAAGAATTTTCTAGTTTTTTTATTTTTTATATTTACCCATGTGAATTCTCTTTTATTTTTGCACATCATACTTAAATTAACACGGCTAAACCAATTATGCCAACTGGATAAATTATCAATATTGATAAACTTTAGGTTTACTCCATGACGTGTGCAATTATCAATAAACTCCAAGTTTATTGTGATATAGGTTTTTATATCAATAAACGTTTACTTTATTGTAGTATTCTTTTATTTGTTTAGTACGAACTGAAGAATAAAGCGGATAACTTTTCACATACATATTACCCGCTACAAGTCGTAGTAATAGAAGATATTAAATCTTTCCTTTATTTATAGTCTCAATATAACCAACCACTTTCGCGAATACTTTAGAAACTAAATAAGTTTTTTTGAGACTTACTACGACATAATACACTATTGACAATCAATTTTATTTCTCTAAAATAGTTTAATTGGCTCTTCCAGAGCTGTCAATTAATTTTGTACTACCATATATTCATCAACATCCATACGGTGAATATCTCTTCCAAGGAAAAAGCCATACCATTATGGTCATGGTCAAAATAGTTATAGGCACGATATTTTGCTTCCATTACTTTTACCCTGTAATAATCGCATTGCCATAATATTTTGGCCTAATCACAATACGTACGTGATCAATTACCATTCATGCCATAATAATGTAATTATTTTCTTATTTAATCTCAAACTTCATTCTAGAGGTGAGTGTGATATATTCACTACCACTAGCACGTTCATATTCTTCCAAGAATGAATATGTATTTATACATCGCATATTATCACATTCACGTCATGAATGAACCATAATCATTTATATGTGCTTTACAAAATCACATGTTAAATCGATGACAAACATTACTTTCACAGAGTGAAGGATTATTTTGAATCCTTATTATTCTCATTACCACAATGATGACAATTATAATTTCGTCTATTGCCACGTGCACATCCATTGATACTTTCACAGTAATAATTTTGTCTTCTTTCAGGCTTATTACATATTGCTACCACATTCTCTTAAGGGAACGAGAATGAAGCAAATTTAATGGGACGGAGTTTTCACTTCTTGTGCTCATAATCATACATGAATTTGATCATGGCAAGACATAGAAATTTTACCACTTCGGATAGTTATAATTTCTCACAAACTCTATTAGAGTTATAACCAAAATTATTGTCTTTACTTGTATTTAAAGTCAAATTATAGAATTTCAAGAATTTATAAGAGAAAAATAAGGTAAAATACTTACCTTAAATCTATATTTTATTCGTGAAGTAAGTTCATGGAACAATTGACAAATATTATGCTCAATGCTATGTACAAGTTGAGCACCATGAACGTATCCCAAGACTGGTGACTAAAGCAGGTGCCTCTACTTAATTGGTTTGAGTCTCGTACTGATAACGTGTTATAAAATAATAAAAGAAGAAGAGTATTGCAGAGAAAAGTAGGGAGAGAGAATTCTTATTGATTTGGGATGATTACAATGGAATAGAACCCCTCTATTTATAGGGGAAAAGTGACTTAACCGCAAAGTAACAAATCATAAAATCTTTCTAATATATAGACATTTACCTTAAATACAATTTTATTTATAATAGTTTTTGAATTATTTTCATTGTAGAGTCCCGTACTAAAGTTCACTCATAAATATGTCATATTCTTAATTCTTCATCTTTTGTTTAATTTTCTTACCTTTCCTTGCTTCGCTTTCCATCTCATACTCATTTGTTCTTTGGAAATAAGATAGAAAATATAACTTATTCGTGAGAGTTCTCCACGAAGATCAAGTCTTTCTTTAAAACATCTGTTGGATAATAGAAGTTGGCATCGGTAACAAGAAGACAGTAAAGATTTGGCCAATTCAATTAAGGTGTAAATTTTTGGACTGTGAATGCCATAAAGACTTGTTTAATACAATAAAAAAGTTATTTGACATTCCCGTTTTCTAAAATAATCACACTTTATTCCAAAATTGTACGAGGATTTGTTAGATCGATCTAAGTCTAAAATTGGATATTAATTTACTCATCAAAACTGTAAATCTATAAAATTCGTGAAGAAATAATACTAACTACAAATTTTGAATGAGACAAAAAAAAAAAAAAAAAGGAGCTTCGCCAAAGAAAATAAACATTTCACCTGAACTTTTAGTGTCAAAATAATGTTCAACGTAAACTAGTAGTAAGTTCAAGCAATCATATGCTTTAAAATAAACAATAATTTTAAAAATCATAATAAAGAACTGATACTTAACTCACTAAAAACAGATTAGGTTAAACAAACTGAATCATGATTGTTAACTCACTAAATACTAGTTAGGCTAACCAAAATGGGAGGAGAGTATTCCACAAGTTAATTGTCTAATTTTGCTCTTTCAATTGCCTATCATATATTTAGATGAAAGACGGAAAAAGATATATTTAAATAAAACATTGTTTTTCTAGGGAATAAAATAAATTAATTTTGTTCTTACACATATTTTTGTCCTTCAAGCTTACGTTGTTGTTTCTAAAGTATCCTACTATTAATAAGATGAAATTCATAATTAAACTTTCTAGCAGTCAAAACAACAATGAAGTCGGTAATAAATATCCTAAGAAGTAAATCATTTTCCACCACAAAATGGGATTAGGATTTATACTGCCTTAAAAGTATACTCATATTCGAGGGTAAGTATTCCCCAAAGAACTGTATAACAAAGCACTTACAATCTATCAAAAGGTACAATTGTGAGTACATGATACCTTCAAGATCATTTTAACAACAATATTCAAAATCCTGATGATGAAGTGTCTGCTGAATAGCAGGTTGACACATTAGAATCATCAAATCTTGTAGGTCTGTGCTGCCAAAATATTAGAAAGTATGTTTCTCCATCACTATATAGCTGCTGGTAAATAGGAAGCCATATATGACTAACCCATGGTTCAGAAAAAAGACCGACCAGCACATCATTGCCTGGATGAAGAAGCAAAGCAAATTAAGGAAGATTCAGATTTGCACAGATGCCAGAGAATCATAATAAACCCAAAGTTTGCCTACAAAAAGCAAATAGTAGAACGACTTGTGAAAATGCAAGAAATACATAGGAGAAAGTAAAAGATTCATTTATTGTTAGTTTGATATATGAAAAGATGCTACTGCGTCTCATCAATCTAGTTGTTATCTTTAGAGCAATGCTCCCACAATGTACCAATATAAATGAACATGATAATGACATCCACGATAATGGGTGGTAACAGGAGTGTGGAGAATCATGAATCAAGAATTGAAAGGATACTACAATGAGAGAATCATTTCACAAAAATGAGATCTATCTTTAAACTGTCTCTCCCACAAACTGTATTCAGTTTTTCAAATAACTTGTATCAACGGATGCTAAATCTGCCACTTGTTGATGGCTGAAGTTGGTGAAACAATAATGGAGACTCTGAAGAGACGAGTCGTGTTTTGGGGATTTCGTGGTCCAATGCAATGGGCTAACAACTTTTCATCAGGAAGAAAGTCGTTAGCCTGTTGCGACAGGCTAAGAATTTAGTTTCTATGAATTTGTGAAACTAAGATGGTTCGGGAGCAGAATGCTTTTTGGCTTGTGACCAGACTGGAAAAGCCATTGACTGACACTTTCATCAGCTCAAGCAGCTGGACTGGCCTGGCTTTTCAGTGATAGTTCAAAGAACTCATGTCCAATTTAATTCCATTAGAAAAGTCTATTTTGACCACAGCAAGACAAAGTCCTCGGAAATCAAAGATCAACCAGGAAACCGAAAGATCAAGGAAAATTATGCAAAATTACAACCCGACTTTCAGTCATATTGGAAAGATATTGGACCCATCCTAAGCTTCAAGATCAAGTGTGAGAATGTAAGCAGAACATTAACTTCTTCTGTTCATCACACGTCCTAAGTTTGTTCATTTTCTTTAGCAGAACATTAACTTCTTTTGTTCGTCACACATCTTAAGTTTGTTCAGTTCCCACATCTGAACTGCGATGGAAATCTTTCCGGAAGTCCAAAGATCGATTCACAGAGTGCAGAAAGGAACTAGGGAACTAGTGTAACAGAACGTCACTAGCATATCAACTTTTCAACTCTTTGAGTACAGATATTGTAGCAACTATTAGTTCCATTTCAGCGGCTACATTGGGTGCATAATACCAAACCTGAAAGGGTGAGAGAGTGGGATCCCTTGATATGGGCCTATTTACTTGTTCAAGTCCATGCAGAGACAAAAACGCTAGGTGATTTATTCCCATTTGCCTAATCCTCGGTACCTATGATGGTGGGAGGTAGCAGGTACGCGATGGTGCGCAAGATGGCTTGGACACTGACATTCTCACAATGGGTCTATTTACTATGTTAATAACAGGGGATTTGTTAACTCAAACAAGGATATTAAGGAAGTAGAACCATGTTTTGCTGTCAAATTATCCTCGTAGACTCGTGGTACTTACAATAGTTATTATGGGCTTCTAAACTTTCAAACACTTTGAGGCTAAATTTTTTAAAGCTTGCACAATTTAATAGATGCCCAAAAGATTAAGCCTTTCATACCTCTTTAGAGATTTATTTTGAAATAGGGAAAAGGTAATTACTTATCTCTAATTGCTTAAGGTTTCATGAAGCACAACAAAAAGTCCAATGGAGTATAACTAATCCCTGAAAAAGGGAGAATTTATAGACTATCAAAGGCACAGAAAAAAAAAAAGAAATACTTCTGCTACAAGCAATATATCATAAAGCTTTGAAAAATGGCGAGAATAAGATGCATACCATTGGATAATGGAGCCAAAAAGGAAATGCTGCATGATAGGAACCTTCTGCAATACTTCTATCTTGNGGAAATGCTGCATGATAGGAACCTTCTGCAAAACTTCTATCTTATACATCTTAAGCAAGCCACTGTTTACCTTGTTCCAATTGGGCACACCACTAATGTCATCTAACATAGGAGAATGCTCTGCAAACACTCCCTTCTTCACCTTCTTTATGAATATAATACATGAGAGATACAAATATTCATTTGAAAAGTTCTCCAAGATATCTTCGTTATGAATAGATTTTGGTTTCATGTATTTGTGATCAATCAACTGAGATGACCCGAATATAAAAGGTAAAAAGTGGTAGTCATCTAGTCCCCAAACACCATGGGACCCAGCAGGCTCTAGGCAATAGGTTATTTGCAACTTCCTCATCAACTCCAAGTACTTGACAAAAACCCTTGACACCAGAGCTTGATAGTCCTCTTCTTTCACAACTCCTAATCTTGCTAAACAGTACAACCATGCTGCAAAATTTGTCTCATGCCCAGTACCTGTATAACAGAAGTGATTAGTTCTAGGAAGGCCATCTGTCAAACCCCAGCAAGCCTGTGCACTTCAAGGTTCTAAAGGATAGTAACAACGCATACAATTTTATACCATGTTCCAGCAAAGTGAGAACTCAAATCAAAGGAGTAGCAAATTTCTTTAAATAGATTTATAAGGACAAAGCCATTTTCATGTATATATACTTGGTACATCAAGAAAAGGAATCAGATGCTGAAGATAGAACATTATGTTGTCCGTCAAATACTGTAATTAAATCATCAAGACAGAAAATAAAAGTTTCATGGTCAATCACTAAACATAAACACAAAATGCAGATGTGCCTATAAGCAGGGGCAGATCCACTACCGTTTCCCAGAGGGGACAAGCTTTAGAAGTTGTTCACTTTTAAACTCGCGATCATGATTAAACTTATTTTACGCTAAAGCATTTGTTGATGTACTTTACATCCACCAACACTATCCTACAGGAAGATGAGTGAACACTACGAAAAGATTGCTACGGGCAAAGACATTAAAGATTCGGCTCAGATATAGAGGCAAAATCAATATTCAATACCACATGTATTATGCCATTCTTTTAACACGTACTTTATGTATTATGATTGTTAAATCACACATCCTTTTTTTTTTTTAATAAAGTAAATAATTTTGTTACTACGGGACAACTCGCCTTTACAAGGATTTTTATGTTACAGATCATCATATAATTCCACAAGAAAAAAGCTGTCGCACGGCGTCAACCCAGAGATGAATGAATCATACATTACTCACCAACATTAACACTTTATGAATAACCTAACACCAAAGCACACCTAACTTAGTACTATTAATCACATTTCACATTTCTCCAATTGTTTAACAAGAAAAACTTCCTCACTCTGATTATGCAAAGAAAAACAGCAAAACTCCAAAAAAATTCAGTTAATAACACATAGTTAATTCTGCCTATGTGCGCTTCTCAAGAACGGATTAAGGAAAGGGTTGCTAAAAGTTGACAACAACACAACTACACCTAAATACCAAACAAGTCAGGGTCGGCTATACGAATCGTTACTGACCATGTTACTCCATTTTAACTCATCTCATGCCAATATTAAGCAAATACACATAAAAGTATTTTAAGTTCGGTATATTTTCTAAATGTATAAATCTTGAAAACGGCTAGTATAAGTTGACAGCTAGTACAAAAACATACAGAGGATTAACATGGCCAAGCCCAACAAATTTGGCATTGAGGTTAATCCATTAATAACATCACATAGTTGAAACAATGTCAAAAAACATACCATAGTCAATTCTGCTGGAGTTCCCAAAGCTATCAGTAAAGTAAGGAACAAGCTCAACAGTAGCAGAATGGAGATCGGTAGGCAGGAACTGAAGCATGAATGACTCAGCATCACAGCTCATGCGCTCGTGCCACGTACGGTACGCCAAGTTTCCGTATCGAGAGGTCTGAGGCGCTAAAGGAATCTCATCCACGTAGGAAATAAGGGTTTGGAGAACGGAAACAATAGCTGAAACTGGAGGAGACACGTGGCAAGGATCGGAGAGCTTGTGGGAACGAACAGACTCGGAGAGTGAAACGATAAAGCCAAGGAAGTTATGGCAAGTGGGAGAGGAGTGGAACTGATCAATATCGCTTTGGGAGTGGATTTTTTTCGTTGGGGTATGGAAATGAAAAGGGGGAGTTAGGGGAATGATTCGCTGTGATTGAGGAACAGGGGTTCGGATGATGATTTCTCTGTTATTGGCTGGTGGAAGGTTGACGGCCGGAGCGCGAATGGGGATGTAGTTGGGGTTGGGATCAGGCGGCGGTGTAGGGAACGCGGTGGGTCCGCCGCAGTTGACGCAGGTTCCTGCGCCGTCGTGGTGGTGGTGAAAGGGGGTGGAGGTGTTGGGAGGAGGGTTGTGGTCTGGTTCCATGGAAGGGAAGAGGAAACAATGGAGTTGTGTGAGCAGAGAAGATGAGTAAAGATTGTCCTACTGTAACACTGGAAGAGAAACGATTCTAAAATTATGCTTTCGAAGAAGAATGAAGCAAGGACTAAGGTAGAGAGAGAGGCTAGATTCAATTATAGTAATCTTTTAGTTTATTTTTTTGAAAAAAGCTACAATTTTGAAAAGGGAAAAGGCCCAAATATACCCTATTTTTTCTAATATTGTTTATATTTAAGTTCCGTAATATTATTCGAGCAAAATTTACCCATATCGGGTCAAATTTACTCATATTATCCGCAAACATTTAAAAGTTACCCTTTTATGTGTTAAGTAATCCGAAATCTCTCAAATTCCTTTTATTAAAATCATTTGTTGTTCTTCTTGCTCCACTATTTTCAAAAATTATTATTAATGTGAATGCTAAGGTTACTAAACTATACAAATTATTCATGAATATTTTTAATTACTAATGCACCCACTTCTCTTCTTGTAATAATAGGTTTGGAATTTATTTAATTTATTTATTTTTATTTTCAACCATATACACACTGTAGAGAATTCAGTGGGTCTATTTATTGTGAATTATATGCAGTTGATCATTATGTATGTACATGTATATTCAAATATATTTTGTCATTATCTGGTTAGTATAGAGTTCGATCGACTAATTTAAGAGTGCACAATGTGTAGACATTTGATTAAAGCAAAGTTGAATTCGATAATGTAAAGTTTTTGAGGAACTTCAACTTCAATCACTAATACTTGCAAAGTCCTCATACATTTGGTGCAATAAATTTATTAAATTTGGGATGCTGTAAATACTTATAAAATTTAGACAAGCCACCTAATTTAGATTTTTCAAATAACTATACTTCGTTATTAACCATTGTATTATTTAATATCTTTTTCTCCTATTTTTTTCTCCAATTTAGAAAGTAGGTAAATGCCAATTATTTCGAAAATAGTGGACCAAGAGGAAGAATCAGTAACTTAATTAAAATGATTTGGGAGATTCTGGACCAAGAGGAAGAATCAGTAATTTTTAAAAGTTTGCTGATTGTAGGGGTAAATTTGGCCAGATAGTATAACAGAGGGTAAATGTGGATAATATTTGAAAGTAAAGGGGTATATTTGGTCTTTTTCCCTTTTGAAAAAGATCTATTTCAAATTAGGGGTGTTCGCCGGTCAGTACGGTATTTAGATATTTCGATTTAGTATTTTCGGTATTCGGTTTCTTAAAATGCAATACCAATATCGTACCTAATTAAATTCGGTATGGTTCGATTTTTCTCATTTCAGTTTCAGTTTATTCGGTTTGGTAATTTCGGTTTATTCGGTTTGAATACTAACTAATGCATAAAGTCATAGACTCTAATATTGTAAATTAAAGTACTTAAAAGTACAAAACTAAAAATATTTGTTGACAAAATGTTTGTCCAAAACTAACCAATATCAACCCAGAGAGAGAAAAATGTACATAAAAGAATAAATTTGATCATTAGAAATGTCTTGTTACTTGCTTAGAGTTAATTGATGAACTTAAAGAATAACGGAAAGTAAAATTTTAGATTTTTATATTTATGTTATAATTAATAATATGTGTATTGTGTAATATAATATATATTTCGGTACAGTATTGATATTTCGGTATTTCATTTTAAAATACCTAATACCAATATTTTCTAAAACGTAAACCAAATACCATACCGAATACCAAAATATCGAATTCCAAATACCAAAATTTCCGATTTCGGTATTTACCAAATTATGCACGCCCTATTTCAAATTGCTCAATTTTGCATTCATATCCTTGCCCCAAATATTTTGTATTTTCCTTTATCATTGACCGAGCCCCAGTATAAAATGAACAACTTACTAGTTAAATTCTTCGAGAAAAAATAACCAAATTTACCTCTCAATTTTTGCAATTAATTCTACTTTCAATATTCTTGAAATCATCTTTAATAACAACAAATCCGATATAATTATACATAGTGGAGTCGGAAGAATAGTGTGTAGGCAACCTTACCCTTACCTTGTGAAGATAAAGATGTTGTTTTCAATAGATATACTATAAATATAATTTAAAATTACCCCATGTTGAATTATGTTACAAGTCAAAAGCCAAAAATTAGATTTAATCGTAACGACAATAAAAATTATTAAAATGCAAAGTTGCGCAATTTTGAATAGTACAAAAATAAAGTTCAACCTTTTTCCATCCAAAGAAAAGATAGATAAACTAATTAAATAATCTTTAAAAATTCGAACTACATAAAAAAGTGTAACACTATCATAATTAACAATATTGCTCACAAATAGCCTTGGCGTAAGAATAAAGCAGGAATATTTGATGCACTGTAGTTTACCATTCTTGCTTCTTCAGTACATATATTTATCACTTAATCAGCCTAAATTTTGGGTCAGCCTTCTCTTCTCCCTCCAATACTGAAATTTTTAATCACCTTATGTCCTTGGCATAATTTCAAAGATGGCAAGAGATGTTTGTTTAACATCAATTTTCAAGTAGTCTTGACTCTAGCTGGCTTTCAACATTTATGCCTTTATTATGTATGGGCTTGCACTCAAAAGTTCTAAGGTTTTGGTAACCACACTCACTGCAGATTTGGTAATGATATTAACATGACCTCCAATTTAACAGCAGGAACAAAGGGAAAAGAATAACAATTACAACAATAATGAAAGGATCAGATATCGTGGGAGGGGAGGATGCTACAAGAATTCCCTCCGGGATGATATAAGAGAATCCTAACAAAGTTCACAAGTTTAATGTAACAACACCTTTCCTCATCAAAACACACATACATAGTTGAATTAGAAACTTGGGTTGCAGTAAAAGTAGAACTGCATCATGGCTTCACCCACTAAAGGACATTCCAAGTTAAATCATAACTTTGAGTCATCAACCAATGTTGCTACAATGACACAGATGATCAATCATCTGCTTCTCGCAAAAAGGCAAAAAGAACTAGGGAAAAGTGGAGTGAAATGGAGGAACGAACACCCGTTAAACTTCTGCTTCAGCAATGCTAATTTAGATAGAATTTGGTGCTCATTAAGCCTGAGGCGCATGAACTCGTTGAGTTATCAACAAAGGCAACTCCACAGGATTCATTTTTAAGTACATTTTAAGTAGGCACCCCACTCCACCCCCAAAAGGAAAAAGAACAATGGGATCTACTGTGCTGGAGGAGCAAGTTGTCTCAATTTAGCTTGCAAGATAACACCAGTTTCATCGGCAATACTTTTCTTCTTCGTTGCAACCTGCAATTTGTTCGAATGATTACTAAAAGAAGAAGGTAATGTCCATAAGAAAAGAAAAACATAATAAGGCTCTTTGTTATCAGACTATAAACCTCAAAGAACTCCTCCCAACATCAGCCACATAACTTTTTCAAATGATAGAAAGATACTACTAGTATAGAGCCTTTAATCTTGCAAGAGCAAAGAAGAGAGTTATATGTTGGTCTTTGGTCTCCAGACCAAAATAGAGAAGAGGTATACCTGCAGCTCGAATGAGCCTTTTCTTTCCTAAAGGAAACCCAACTACTTGATTCATTATTTGTGAGGACTAACCTTCTACTCCAATAAAGTATAGCTGGCAATAACACGTGATGGTAAAGAATGATCAAAGCTACATAGTTTAAAGCAAAATCACAGTATTATTCTAGCTCCGCCCCTTGGTTAAGTTTCCATCAAGCAAAAGCAGCAAAAGACCTTTCTACAGGTAAGTAGCTAGTCGAAATCCTTAAGGTTAAGATCTCTAATAAAGACTCATTGCTGACCATTTCATCGGCTCTATCCAGTTGTTTCAGGAGATTGTAGTTATCCATGGTCAAAATTCCAAACATCGGTTGCCTCCCGAACGAGTGGGGTCACCTTCAACAAAAAGAGTACTCGAGAGTAGAGTACATACATCAATATGGGGACTGTTAGCTTACACCACATTAGCAAAGCTAAAGACTTTACCTACATTGCCTAGAACTTGAATGCTCTCATTTTAGTTACAAGTCAACGGTACTCCTCGCACAAAATTTTACAAGGCTGAAATCAACTGATCAGCCAAAACCTCTTTGAGACTAATAAGCAAATTGAGATTGTCATTCTCTAATTTTTATCAGCGTTGTGAAATTGAGATGGACCAGTGTGGTGAAAAGTGGTTGCTTCATCGCTTGGCGAGCAGGTAGCGCTTCTCGGGTGTGAAGCGAAGCGACTCTAATGAAGCGGTCGCGAGAAGTGAGAAGCAGAGGACCTATTTAAAAAGAGAAAAACTGAAGACTATTTAGCTGAGAAAGGAGACTCATCTGCTCCAGATCTTCTTCTTCTTCTTCTTTAATCTTTTGTTTTATTATAAGAAATCGACTTATAACTTGAAAGAACACACACACACACTACTTTTTGGTTTTTAAATCGAAAGATTTGCTAATATATACTAGTCCCTCCGTTCCAGTTTATGTGAATCTATTTCCTTTTTAGTTCGTTCGAAAAAGAATGACATCTTTCTAAATTTGGAAACAATTTAACTTAAACTTCAAATTCTATCCTCAATGAGAAACTTTTATAGCCACACAATACTCTGACATATTTAACACCACAAGTTTCAGAAGAATTATAGCCACACAAATCTTATGGCTTGTTTAGGACCACAATTTAAAAAGTCTTTATTTCTTTATTAAACACCATGCTAGGTCAAATGGGTTCACATAAATTGGAAGTTTGGAACATAGGGAGTATTGTTTTTGCTGAATTCTTTTTATTTAGTTATTTTACGTATTTCTTTGGTATTTTTTTCAAAAATGTCGCTTCGCTTCTAGCTTTAAGCGAAGCAGGCCCTTGTCGTTTTTTGGCACTTAACGCACACAAAAACACTGAGATAGACTCGTAGAGGAAACTACCGAATGAAGAAGTACCAAATATTTTCATGGTGACTGATTGTGTTAGATTTAGCTCTCCTCTTTCTTGTGATTTGGCATAACTACCTTTGTCATGTGTTAAAAGATGAGGCATAAGAAAAATGTTTGAAGTATCTTCAAACTGACTCTACTATCCTTAGGTCATTCAAATTCATTGCGAACATGAGAAGTATGAACTTTCACTTTAATGATATTGAGGTTGCATTTACGAATTCTGAAAGTAGTATTCAATTTGTTTAATCTTAACTTTTAATCAGGTTAGGAGTGTTCAGGTGATACCATGTCTCAATTAATTCCTACTTCCTGATGTGAAGCAAAGCAAGAGCATAGGAAATGCAAGGAAAGAATAGAAGTAGAGGAGTGGTCAGTTGCAGGAAGAATGACAAAGGAAAGGGTACGGAAAGGATAAGAACAGGGAAGTAGTAGATTAGAAATGCAATTCACACTAATGGTAGGCCAGATGAAGCAAGGAAGAAATTTTGAATTCAATGATGGTTCCTCATGTCTAGGTTCACAAAATTTCAAATAGACCTTTCAAAGGAAGGAAACTACAATAATGAGAAGTTGAAAAAATAGATAGGAGGCTGTTCGCACCACTCTGAGGTTAGTCTTGCAACCTGAACTATTAAAATTTTAGCACAGCCTTGTCACATAGATCAGTGTCGTGGTTTAACTTGGAGAAGTTATATAAGCAGGTGTGGGGTGCAACCTGGAGATTAGAGTAAGACTATACGTGGTTAGTGGAATAAGAGCTTGTGTGTATCCCAGGAAATCAGGAATAAGGTGGGATTATACTTGACTGGTTTATCTTCAAGGATGACTTATGTGCCATTAAACACATTTGGAACTATTTTCAATTTTATTTTGTGAATAACAAAAGCTTTATAAAGTCATAATTCTGATAGAGAATGAAACAGGTTTCTCAATGACCTATTTTTGAAGAAATTTGCAAAAACATTAAGGGGAAATGATAAAATTGTGAGAAGATACAACAGAATGGAAAATTAACCATTATATCCTCCTAAATGATGATATCTGTCCCCGAGAGTGAAAAAAACCCTATGAAATCCGCATGAAAGGTGAGTAGTCCTGCAATGCAAGCTTTTACAACATGGGGTAAACAGCTTTCCAAGCTATCTTTCCCAGGTATAAGGAGGAGAAAGACAATAAATTCTTTTTTATAATGTTGTTGTCTAGGCTAACTTACCCGCACCTCGACTATTACATCGGGTACCTGCTACCTCCATTAAGCACAGGGCTTAGGCAAATGGAAAGAAATTACCTAATGCTTTTTTGTCACTGGAATTTGAACCTGGGTGTCCAGGGTTAGCACCAACTTTATAGACCCACTAGGCCCACACCCTTGGGTGCCAAAAACAAAACAAAAAACTTTCTAAACCGCTTTCTATTGACTGAGAAAAGGCTACTGAATACGCATAAACCTTCTTGTAGATACTAAATGTCCAACTTTTTTTTGAACTCTTCATATGACACGAAATAAGCATATGCCAGTAACCACTAACTATGCTGTTCAGATGATTTTTCTTAGTGAATTTAGCTATGTATGGTGTGAATGTATAGTGCCTTTATATTGGCAGAGGCCATTTGATGTCCTCTAAAACCAACTTCTTGTATATTGCGAGAAGCGTACATGGCCGAGAACTCCTTGAAACCCTTTAAAACAATATGTTCCCCTTACTTTTCCTCGCATCAATTGCACCGAGAATAGAAGTTTAGCTTACGTTAGGTAGATTAACGGCAGAAGTATCAAGTAGGATTGAGATAGATGGGGTACTCAGTACACCAATAATGAAACCCTTGATAAGGTTTTTAGTATGTAGAATTTACATCAAATCAAAACACAAGTCAACTAATATAAACAGCTCAAAACTTGCAAGAAAATTCACTTCACCAACCAAAATGAAATGGATACTTACATCAAGAAGCTGCTCGTAGTTGGACTTTAGCAGGTTGATTTTCCGCTCACAGTAATCTTTTCCTTCTGTCATAGTTTTCTGTTAAAATAAAGAAAGAAAACAACAGGGCTTGAACCTTCTGGCGATAGGACCATGTGGAAAGACAATATATGGCTTTCCATATATGAAATAACTGAGGCATAGAATGAAAAATGTGTTCTTTTCGATAATGCTCCAACAACAGTCCCTTAGATTCGTAAGACATCACCAATTTATTTCTTGAAAAAGCACGAAGCAAATGGATTATCCAGGAACTACATATAACAAACTTCTCGATGAATGAAAGATACATTTCTAACGAGAAAATTAACTTAGACCCTATAAAGTTCAGAAAATCTAGAGTAAACATCAAATTATCCAAACCTAAGAAAGGAGTAACTAGAAAAGGAATCCAAAAGGCTTGTTTTTCATTTTAGACAGAGGATCAAAACCAATAAAAGATATTTAGTACATCGAAAGAATTTTCTGAAAATCATAACTATGTTGCTTCAAGCATATATTGCAAGAGAATCCATTTTTACAAGGATATTGTAACGAAATCCATTACACATTCCTGGAAAAATAAACAAGTCATCAGCACAGAAGAAAACCCAATCTCCACAATAACACTCCTCAAACGGACAATTATCAGTAATGAGCTTTTTTACAAGGTAAAAGAAAACAGGAAAAAAAAAAAAGTATGCCAAGAACAACACAGAATTAAGCACCTTGTCACATTCCTCATAAGAATCCAAATCAAAAATCAGTCACAAGCAAGGTATACCAACGACGAATTTAGAATATACTCTGATGTACGACACTCTTTTCATCTTTCTACAATTCAAAATGCCCAACATTTCTATACAGTTTTCTCGGCTTTCCAGAATTCAAAATTATTACACGTTTCAATTCATAACCTCCTGATATGTTTTTTCAATCAAACTAACTTTCAACTACTGCATTATTTTCTTCCACTAACAACAACAACAACAAAAACAAACCCAGTGTAATCCCACCAAGTGGGGACTAGGGAGGGTGGTGTGTGCGCAGACCTTACCCCTAAAAGCAGCAGCTCTGAAATCCTATACACGTTTATACATGAAACTACAACATTATACAAACTGCAGAAACAAGGTAGATGTAGTCAACTCACCAGCTCTATCCTGCGTGCAAGCAGTCAATATGGTACCCTTATATGCTGCTTTAAGGAAACTTCCGTCAACAACCATTATCGGCCTGCAATGCTCCCAACCCTTGATATATGCATATAGCGAATCATATGCGTAAAGAAAGCATCCATCTTCTGATTTGTGTAACTTTGTAACCATTCCTGGATTTGTATGCTCCAACATATACAAATACCTCGGCAACTCCTTATATGAATCGCTCGGATTCCCTCTTATCATTGCCATTGCTATCTCTTTAACTCTCCCTACTTTCATGTAGCTCACTTCAACCCCGTGTTGCTTTTGTATGTCCTCTATTATATTATTTGGGGTGTAAACCTTTTTTGGATTAACATACTTGTCCTTGACTATACTAGCAATTACACCCGAAGTAGCTTGACGTTATGCTAAGTATCTTTCACCATAGTCGCATGTGTGATTATTATTGTAACTTCTCAAATTTTGGACGGTCCTATATATTTGGACGGTCAGCTAAAAATAATTACATTCGCTAGTTAAATATATAAAAAATATACATTGATTATATATAAAAATATGTATATTATACATTAATATTTTAATATATATTTTACATGATATTATTTTTACGAGAAATTATACGGTATAGTTTTCCCTTCAAATTTTGCAAATCTGAACAACTTTAACAAATATAAATTTTAATTTGCAAACATAAAAATGACAATGTTCTATTTATATGATTCTAAGGGAGAAGCAAAGAAACAGATGGAAAGGAAATTATTAAAAACCTTTAACTATATACATATCCAACTACTTAGCACATTAATGGACTTCACATGATCTTTTTAATGGGAACTAATATTGTTTTAATATATAACGATAGAGCTAAAATATTAGCAAAAACTGTCGTTCCGTTGTCATATTTGCTTAATAAATTCGAGTTATAGATCATAATTAATAGGGAAAATTATACTGTATAATTTCTCATAAAAATAATATTATGTAAAATATATATTAAAATATTAATGTATAATATACATATTTTTATATATAATTAATGTATATATTTTTTATATATTTAACTAGCGAATGTAATTATTTTTAGCCGACCGTTCAAATATATAGGAGCGGGTTAGGGTCGTTGGATATTTTAAAAGATACAGGTGAGTTTATTTAATACAAATAATATACGTGACGGATTAAGAAAATGCCACAAAAGTAAAAAAATTGACAAGGTTAGTTCTGTTAGATATATGGGTAAGTTTGAGCCAAAAAACAAACGTTAGGGGTATTTGTAGACCAAAAGGTTAACGGAGGGTATTTCTGAGCCATTTTCAATGCGTTAGGGGTATTGTTGGCCCTTTTGTTAGATATAAGGGTAAGTTTGATCCCAAAAACTAACGTTAAGGGCATTTATGACCCAATAGGTGGAAGAAGAGCAAAATTGAGCCATTTTCAATACTTTAGGGGCATTTTTGGTCCTTTTCCGTTTAAAATATAACTCATACGTTGGGTTTAAACTTAAAGCAACAAAAAATGAAAAAGGAAAACATGTGTGCAATACTTTATCCATCTCCGGCTATTCCTCTCCGTTCTCTTTCTTCAGTTCCTTGCATTGTCTTATCTGTTAGACTATTACTCTCTGTTTTTTGAAGCTCGGAAAAAACAAGTGAAGGAGAGGAAAATGGCATACATAATATTTCATCCACAAACACCCACAGAAATTAAGTTGGACAAAAACACTCTTCTCCATCACTTTGCCATACATATACGAAGTAGGCTTTCCTCCAAACTTTACTAATTGTTTACTTCAACATTCATTAAGGAGAAGCAGGGAGCTTTTACTTAGCACAAACTGCACCTATTTTGCAGTTCAAAATACAACTGATCTAAAACATGAAGTGGCAGAGCGACCCGTCATCAAGAGAACTATCCCCCCCACCCCCACCCAAAAACAGAACCCTTCTGAAAAGAAAAAAAAAATACAAAAGGAAAGTGCTCTTTGACCCCTTAAGTTTTCTGCAATGCGACGCCGAAAACATAGTACTATTAAACAAATTTTATCCTGAGCGCTTAAGGCCATTTCGGGAGGAAAATATCAAGACTCACTAGGAATAACGTTAAAGAAATGATAGACCTCATCTTCGTCGATGACTCCAACATCCGTCGAACAAACTGAACAACATACATGTTTATATGTCTCGCCCATATCAGAATCCGCTTCAGCCGCACCAGATCCACGTCCTTTCTTACCCCTCTTTCGTTTATTTCCAAGCTGTGCCACTTGTTCGCTCTTGATCTTGCAATTGACCACAAACATTGCTCGGTACTGCGTAACATTCTTTTCATGCCTGCATTATCAAGATAACATCAACTCCGAATTGCATTATTACCAAAACCCACTAGAAAGCTAACAAAAGGAGAAACAAAAGCTTGCATTAGTGACAAAATGCACTAAGGCACTTTCTTGATTGAATAGCTCACCAATTACGCTACTGCTGAACAATGATTAAAACCGGATAGTAACTCAACAGGAGTCTCCAGCTACAAATTTACTATTAAAAAATTAACTGGGCAATGTCATATAGGTGCATCAGCTTTGCGAAGTATAGTAAGAACATGATACTGGAAGCTGTCTTCCGCAATACATTTTCAATTACCATTAAAACATAGATGAAGAATGAGTTACATTAATTCTGTTATTGCATTGTTGGTCCCTAGTGTTCAGAGCTAAACATGACAGACCCATTTTGTAAATGTCAATGCGAAAACTCGACAAGATCGGTAGCACGTCAATGTAACACCCCGGACTTTAGATACAAGAGGGATGCTGGGTATATAAGTTAACAAGTCTTAGACCCAAGTGATACGTTTTAAACCCGTGGGGGCCTAGGCCCAGAGCGGACAATATCACTAGTGGGCTAGGCTGTTACAGATGGTATCAGAGCCACTCTTGTATCGGCCTTGCCGATGGTGGGTCAGAATTCAACTGAGTTTAGGCAAATCTCGGTTAGATGGGGCAAACCTCAGTGTTGAGTCTAGTGGAATCCAATGCGGTTGGGGCAAACCTCAGCGAGGACGCTGAGTCCATAAGAGGGGTATATGTAACACCCTCGGCAAAACACAAGAGGGATGCTGGGTATATAAGTTAACAAGCATTAGACCCTAGTGACGCGTTTTAAACCCGTGGGAGCCTAGGCCCAGAACGGACAATATCACTAGTGGGTTGTGCTGTTACAGTCAAGTTCAGGTTCATAGAGATTCGGCAACACTACTAGCAAAAGTTGTGTTTAACATTCAAGTTCGGATTCAAAGAGATCAAATATTTCTGGTTGTTCTGGCAACAGTAAACTTTCGACTTGCCGTTCTTTCTTTCCTAAAGCAAAAGGAAACCAGAGAAAATGGAAGAAGAATCAAATGAGTTTATCGTTCAGCTTGTTACTCCGGCTTTGGCCAAGTCATAACAGATTTCATTGCTTCAGGAAATCACTCTTTCCTAAAGCGAAAAAAAAACAGAGAAAAAGGAAAAAGAATCAAATTGAGTTTATAATTCAGCTACCTATCTCCTGCTTAGAAGAGGTGCCTTCTAGAGTTCTAGTAAAAAAATTGACATCCACCGTGTTGCAGAGAAGACATGATTTTCCCAAGCCTACTAGCATAATAGACAAACCAGACAAACTCCTTAATTTTCCCGAAATACTGTGACGGAAATCCAAGCAAGGAAAGGGTGATGGAGCTAGAAAAGCAAAACTTAAAGAGAAAACTCGAAGCAAATATCTAATACAATGATTTTCTGATGAAGTGTGGCCATTAAATGGGAAAGACAAGTAGAGGTGATACCTCAAGAATAATACTTGCTTGGTTTGAAGTGCAAAAGTTACAAGAATTCTATATCATATCTGTTATCTGATGCTTGATCTAGACTTGGCTTATCTCTGTCACTCTCACTAAAATAGGGGTCTTAATCAAGTTCAACTTTTTTGCCACCATGATCTTTTCATTTGAGGTCAAGCAGCAAGCACTAAAAACTCTTACCATTTCTTTGCATGCAGAAAATGTGAATTTCATTCCTTGTTTTTTTGGTAAGTTAAAAAGAACATTTGCACAGTAAAAAGAATAATATACTTTATCAATGATGAAAGAGAACTAAGCAATTGGAATTATGTACATAACTGAATCCCAATAGAAGTACATGGGTATTCTCCTAAAGTTCACGAAGAGTTTTGAGGAACTCAACAAATTGTGTCGTATGTGTCTTTCATCTTAGGTCCAGAAGGCAAACAACTTTATAGTATGCCCTGCAACTTCATCGTTTTTTCATACTACCCAAAGAAACAGGATTGCCATTCTGTCTCGGTCGACTTACAAAATTTCTGACCAGACTCTTCAGATAAAACAAAACAGTAAAACATAGTGACAACTGGAGAGAAGCACAGTTACAGATTAGCTTACAAGAATTACAAGGACACTAGCAACAGAAATTGAAGTAAGAACTCCATGAAAGCAAACATCCTCCGACTTAGGTCGTCCTTTCTCTCGGGATGGATATTTGTGGGTGGGGCATATTGATGGCATTTGGCGTTGAAGAGAAGTGTAATTGAGTTGTTCCAGAGCGCACTTTTCTTGCTTTTATTTAGACTAAACTTATTCTTTTTTTCCACTTCCCAGACATTCAGTTGTGTCCATCTCTATAAAGCATAATGATTTGTCATTATCCACCTTCACAAACTTACTGCCAAGTGCTAACCATATTCTCAGACGTATCCTGCAGTTTAGTGACTTTAGTCTAGAAATTTTATTAATTATTACTTATTGAAAAAATAATCCTTTAATATTTGCTTTCACTAAATCTGAACTGAACCAGGTTTTTATCTGTTCCAATCAAGCAAGAACACATTTTTGATAATGCCATTCCCGATCCAAATATTTTTTTTTAATAATTATTCCTAATCTACGTATCGTTGATGTAAAAACACCATAATAGTAATATTGATTTCTCTTCTTCACCAACATTTATCTGGTATCATTAGAAGGCTATTCCATGTCTACCGTGTATCTGGTTGATCCTTACCCCTTTTGCTCCTATTTCATCAAAAGGGATTTTTGACTTTTACCCCATTATTAGAAATGCTAAACTCGACCTCTTACATATTTAGTGAGCCTGGTAATCATTGTGAGCAATATCCAAATATCTGAAATTATACGATAAATCAAGGTCCAACAAATAGCATACAAAACTTTTTGGAGAAAAGATTCTCTCTACAACTCTGCAACATGAAAGCCTACTTTTAGGATGTCTCTTCTTCTCATTGCTAGATAAACTTCCCTAAGGCTTGCAAGTACAATCCTATAAAAGCATGACCAATTTCCTGCATTTTGAGTGATATGATCTGGTACCGGTCGACGATGAAGAAATAGAGAAATTAAAGGAACTTAGAAATTGGAAGCGGATAAAGACAAGTAGATGCAAGAAGATCCAAATATTTTGGCTGACTGTTCCTACAATAAGTTTCTTTCGTCTTCTTGAGCCGAGAGTCTTTCGGAAACAGCCTCTCCACTCCCTCGGGGTAAGGGTAAGGTCTGCGTACTCACTACCCTCCCCAGGCCCCACTTATGGGATTTCACTGGGTTGTTGTTGTTGTTGTTCCTACAATAAGTTTGACCATTTTCAAAAAATAATGGTCTGAAAAAGATAATTAGAAACAGCCTTTCTACCTTCAATGTAGGGATAAGGTCTGCGAACACACTACCCTCCCAGAACCCACTTGTGAGATTACACTAGGTTTGTTGTTGTTGTAATGGTCTGAAAAAAAGGACCCAAAACAAGCATATAAATTCGAGAAAGCAAGAAGATTCAAATATTGAACTTAGAAGGCAGTTCATATAATATTGGAATGAAATGGACCTGTACTGGGCAAATGGATAAAGATGATTCATATAGCCTAGACAACTCAATTGCGATTGAGGCATAGTTGATTGATTAATTGACCGAAGAAGATCCAAATACTCCAGTAGTAAAGTAACAGGATCATGCAATCAAATATATTCTTTTTAATATTCAAATTATAGGAAAATTCTAAAAAGAAGAAAAGCAATACCTTTGGCAATCTAGACAAAGTGTGGTAAAACAAGCTGGACAATTAAGGATGGCATCGGAAGTACGACCACCCCTTTTCTTCTGCACCCAGAGTTCATCCTTGTCGTCAAGTTCTGAATCATAAAATTCTGGCTTGACGGAGTAGTCTATCTCGTCATCATCAGAAACTGACAAAACATCATAGTAAATACAAATTAAAGAAATAATCCCCTATTACACTACAATAATGCAAGAGCAAGGTTCCATCCGCGGGCCCTCAAAGATTTGGCTTTTGGGTTTAACAGTCTATGCATATAAACAGAGAATTATCATTCTTTTCTTTTATAACTGAGAAATCCCTGAGGGCCTGCAGCACACAGTTCAGAACTTCAAGGATAATGGCCCGCTCCTCTACCTCTCTCTCCCCACTTAAATACCAGGCTTTTGTCTGCAGAAGTTCGAACCCATGACGTCCCCCTAGCCCACACATGCTCTTACACTATACAAAAGCAGTGAACTATCATTCTTTACACCCGAAACGAGAGACGAAAAAGGTAGAAAAAAGGGGGATCTTAGGAGTCCATAGCTCTAATTGGAAAAATATTCACATTGGAAAATTCAGGGTGGATAGAAGGGTGTGTAAGTCGAGAATTAGAGTAGAGGGTTAGTAAGTAGACGCATGGTTTCCTTTTCATATCAGTAGTATTAGTATTACGCCCGCTTTCTCTTATTCTTAGATTTCTAGTATTACATGTTGTTTGCTTCAGTTATCCTATTTTTCTTGTTGTTGTTACTTTCTATTTTTTCTTGCTGTTGTTGCTGCTTCTTTTCCATGACTTCGCCACTATTAATATTTCTTTTCAGCTGAGGGTGTGTGAGAAATAGCTCTCTACTACCTTGTGGCTAAGGTCTACGTACACACTACCCTTACCACATTCCACTTGTGGGATTTCACTGGGTATGTTGTTGTTGTTGGTAGGTTAAGTTCAACTACATTAAGAAATGAGTATATCAATCCACCAATCAACTATGTCTCAATTCAAACTAGTTGGGGTGGGCTACCATACAATAATTTTGAGCAATAAACTACCACAACCCTCCTCCTTTATTCGAGTTTAGGACCAGCTACGTGAAGCTCATAATGTGGAGTTATATTAAGAATTCAGTACTAAGGAAAAGGAATGTTCAATGGGTTTGAGTAATCATGAAAACATTGGTATCCATGGGATGAGAGAAGATTGTTTAACTGCGAAAGGAGGAGAAAGAGCTACCGCCTACCTGTTTGCTGGGAGTGAGAAGGCGATTCCTCTCTCTCTTCTCTGTGTTGTTCGTCCTTGTTGTTCATCTCTGTTTCCCGCCGAGAATAGAGATGGCCGGAGGAGTTGTGCCGCCGTGCCGGTGACTCGGTAAGTCGGTAAAAGGTGAGCCTAGAGCATAAACGTGAATGGAATAATTTAACTCAAAAAATGATCCTTTAAGTTTGAAATTTCTCTCTTTTTGTTTTCTAAATATAACCCTGAACAAAATAAATCCTAGTAACGAAATCCCAGCAATTTTTTAAAGGTCAAATACCTAAGCAGCCCTCTAATAAGTTTGTTCCTTTTTTATTTGACACTTGAACTAGGATTAATACAACATCTAAACTACTCAAGTGTAATACAACATGATTAAATTTGTCATTCCATCTTTATAAAAGAATATTCGAACTAGTATTAGTACCCGTGTATGCACGGATAAATATCAAACTATGATTTGTATTATTTGAATTATATACAAATTACGTTAAAACTTAAACCTTCGAGATAAAAATTATGTATAATTATTATATATCAGTTAAGAAGCATTATATGAAACTGTTTCTCATATTTCCTACTGGATAGCATATTTTTTAAAAAAAAATATTTGTAACAACTCAACCCCTTGATCTTAGTACCTTTTTATATCTGAAACAACTCAACCCAAATCATATTCTTTTTTTAATATCTGCAACAACCCAACCCATAGATATTAGTACTTGCATTTTATTATATGGTAAATATTAAAGAATATTAAATATATAACGTTGTAATATATCTTGTTTGAGCATATTATTTTTAAAAAAAATTCTACTACCACTTTATTTTTACCTTAAAGTCGAATAAGTCTTATTCTTCTATATTTTTACCAAAAAACAATCTCTATTTAATCTTTGCTTATAGTTGTTGCATTACTCATTACTTAATATTATTATATTTTTATGTGATTTTTTGTTAGCTTACCGATTGACTTGATATCTTTCTTACTACCTTTTTGATAATTATATATAAATATAAATTTTTTATTTCTAAAATTTAATGTATTTTTATACTTTTATCCTCTTACTTAGAGCTCTTTCGACATTTAAATCTATCAATAATAAATTTAAATATTATTTAATTATTTAATATGCTTATCCTTAAATTAATTCAAAGTATAAATATTCTCACACTATCTCTATTTTCATCTTTATATAATTTTTACCCTATTATGATATTATAATATTTTATATTAATATCTTATAATATAATCAAAATATATAGTATCACATTTTATTTTTTGTTATAACATTGAATTAGTCTAAAATATTAATACATAAGTTTCTAAACTATTATATTTTAAATCTATTGTTTTTTTTATAATTACTTTTATATTACGTGCAATTATATTTTATTTCTCTTTTAGTTTTAGGATAAAAATTTAAATTTTATTTTCGTTACTAAATTATCTACATGAGACATTTATTTTGTATTCTTAAAATTTTAATTTGTTATTCAATTGTTATTTTTATTTTTCTAGTAAAACTTTAAATTTTTGGTCCTATCCATAGCTTTTAACCATAACTTTAATATAATCTCAAGTTCAAATCATCTTTCCTTTCTATTTATAATATTAAATGTTATTGAATTTTTAATTATTGCTATTATGTTACCTAATATATAGTACTTCATATTTTTATGTGACCTTCATTAACTTTCTTTATTTAATATCATTATCCATTTATATCCTTTAGTATAATATAGATCAATGTCTGGTTTTTTAATATTGATATAAATATTTATATTATTTTAAATTAATACTCGAAATTATTAAATTATTTAAATTTATTAATAATATTTTTAAGAATTATATAGTAAAATTTCCAATATTTTAATTTAGTTATTTATAATTAATTAATTAAGAAATAAGTTATATGAGGATTTTTCTGGTTATCCCATATGCCTAAATTAGTTATTAGTTAATAGCTAAATAGTTATCTCATATGTTGTTGTTGTTGTTGTTATTGTTGTTGTTAATAGTTAAATAGTTAATATATTACATGTGGCTAATTTTAAGGCTGTCACTTGGCTTAAGGAAAGGGCTTTTTCTCTCCTTCTAATAATATATAGATATAGATAAAGATAATTATTTTTATATCACGTGCAATTAAATTTTCTTTCTTGTCACGACTCAATTTCTCCTATAGACCGTGATGGCGCCTAACGTCGCCGCTAGGCAAGCCAACAGTGAACTAGACATGTATTTGTTCTTTTTAATAATTTAAAGTAGTTGATTTTTATTTATTAAGTAAATGAGAAATGGAAAATTTAATAAAATAAAGCGTAAACTAATAAAAGAGCAAATACGGTGAAATAAATACTCAAAAGCCATAAAGTGTCTACTAGCATGTTTCTAAGACTCGGTACCACAAATGTATGAGCAACTAGTAGAATATATAAAACACCTATGCTACTGTCTGAAATATGATAGACAAAAAGTAAATACAAAAGAGAGACTGCAGGTGATGCAGAACGGACTCAGAGGGCATCTCACCACTATGCCTCAGGGTATCGGGGGTGCGCGCCTGAGTGAATGCCAGATGCACCTGTCTTAGATCCTTCACGATTAGTGCAGAAGTGTAGCGTGAGTACATAAACAGCATGTACCCAGTAAGTATCCAGTCTAGCCTCGAAGAAGTAGTCACAAGGGGTCGACATCGACACTTACTACAAGCCAATAATAAAAATACAGAAATTCTAAATATGCATGAAAATACATGAATAATAATAATAACACAGTAACCATCAATGAATAAATGGTTCTTTAACTGATAGTCAATTTAAAATCTCCAATTAACACATACTAACTTCAACAATTTCAGGCCATTAAATAAATTATAACCTCTCAAGTCATAAAAATAATATCAAGTGTATTAGGGCTCCAAGCATTATCATGCACGATTTATGCCGAGGTCGTTGAGCCCGATCCAGAATAATATGTACATTGCCGAGGGTCGAGCAACACGAACCATAAATGCATTTATTATATTATCGAGGCAAATGACCAGCTCCCATAAGAGTAGTGTTATCGTACTGCCGAGGCGAACGGCCCGATCCCATAAAAGTAGAGAAGTTTACTGTCATGACCAAAATTAACCCTCCGTAAGGTATCGTGATGGCACCTAGTCTTTACGACTAGGTTAGCCTAATATTGTAAAAAATATAAAGAAAACACAACATTTTAAAGATAAACAACATATTTTTAAATAGCAAAGAGTAGTACCACTCGGCATATACAAAATAATTTTCCAAGAACCGGAATATCACTAAGTCACAAGCTGTTATAATCTATGTAGCTCTATACAAAAGTCTGAAGATAATAAAGAAAGTCTCTAGGCGAGGGAGTAGAAGAGGACTCCGAAGATTTGCAGACGCAAGCAGAAGTACCTTGAAGTCTCCTAGAATCAACAGCACGCACTAACCTCAAGGCTGATAGCTCGTACCTGAATCTGCCCACGAAAATATGTGCAGGAAAGAGTATGAGTACACCACAATGGTACCCAGTAAGTTCCAAGCCTAACCTCGGTCGAGTAGTGACGAGGTCAGGTCAAGGCCCTACTGGAGTAAATATAATAAATTAAACAGTAAAAGATATAAGTAAACTTTACGGTAATACATTAAAGAAATTCTCAAAAATTTAACAGTTAAGGAAGCCCTCGACTCAGAACAAGGTAAACACAGTGGAAAATCTCTCGGGATATCGTCCCGTAGTTTCAAATGAATATGCAGTACATGGGGGATCTCCCGGAATACATCCGTAGTCCCAAAGTAAATATGCAGTGCTGGGGGATCTCCCGAAATACGTCTGTAGTCCCAAAGTAAATATGCAGCACAGAGGGGTCTCCCATAATACGTCCGTAGTCCTAAAGTAAATATGCAGTACATGGAGGATCTCCCAAAATACGTCTGTAGTCCCAAAGTAAATATACAGTACAGGGGGATCTCCCAGAATACATCTGTAGTCCCAATTTAAATATGCAATGCAAGATGAAATGGCAGGTATGTCATCGAGTTATACAGTTTATAATGGACACAGATAAGGCAAATAATGACTTAACTAAACATGACGCACAGAATGTCAATTAGGCAGTTAAAACACGTAAG